GGGGGCCTGAGGGCCCGGCGCGGCACGGGCAGCTGTGCCGCGTCACCTAGTGTGCTAAGCGCTGGAAATAGAAGGTCTCTGGTGACAGCAGGCTTACCTAGGTATAAGTACTTGAGTTCTGGACAACAAGGGGTTCCCAGCGCCAAGCGGCCAGAAAGGGCTACGTCTGATTAAATGCTCTATATTTGGATGATGACTGAACTAAATCATTCAGTGACCGGGACACTAAGACCCTATAAACACCACTCAAAGCTTCGTAATTGGCTGTAAAGAAAAGGAACAGGGTAGGAAATGTAATAAAACCCCACCTTAACATCAGTAAGTATAGACATTGAAAAGAGAGGAATTCTAGAATGTAGTTTATTGCTAGTGAGAAGAATTTAAAGCCAGCTTCACAGGAATAAGACCTTTAGTTACACGGTAAGCCACAAGCTTTCAAACCACCGGAGTGCTTTCAGCAGCTCTGTAGTTAGTCAGTCTCACAAAACTCAAGGCTCAGTTAATAAGACACTGCTGGTTGTGGGTGTATCAGTTCAATAGGCAAAATTAAACAACTTCCGAGAGTTTGTACCTATAAAGGGGCTTCTAACTGGCAAGTATGAAGGAGATCCTCTCAGGGAGAGATGCATGCTTTTAGTTGTTTTGAAAAGTTGCTGTTGCCTTGTATGTCCATTTGCACCAGCCCCACGCAGGCACATTGGGCACACTGAATGAGTGAGGGCACATGAAATACTGAAATACATCTGTTCAGATGAGCCATGCTTACAAATCTTCACTGAGATCCCCCGCAAATATGCTGTGAAGAAAATACTGGTACTGGGAGGGTGAGTCAGCATCTAGAAATCGAAATCCAAAAACAGCATTCAGAATCTTTGCTCAGATGCTTTGTCAGTTTATGCAACACTTCCCTTGACCTCTCAAGTAAGCGAAACGCTGCAGTTCGACTTCAGTATGTTGACCTTTCTCAGAGCACTTGGCAAAAGCCCAGGGTCAGCTTGAATTTCTTCAAGAGTCTCTGCACAGTATTATTTCATGTCAGTCTACGTTTTCTGGTAGAAAAAAACAAGGTACATTCGCACAGCAAATTTCCATACAGCCTATTCAGAGGAAATCAATTTTCCTAAGATGCTTTGTTTGTTTGTTTTGGGGTGGGTTTTTTGTTTGGTTTTGTTTTTTTTTGTTACCAGCTTACTTTATCCTCAGCTTTACTGTTGGTGATTTTTGGTCACTAATCTTGCAATGTTTTTAGTAAGCAATAACTTCTAAAAACCTGTAATTCTTACAATATTTCATGAAGATATGAGTATTTCATGAAGATCACATATCTGTAACACAGGAAGTGATTTGCACAGCAAACCAGCAGAAGCTCAAGCCAAATTTCTGCTTCCATTTGCTTTCTCTATTTCAGGTAAAGTTTCTTGAATTTATAGCTTCATTGTTCAGAGTTGTGTTTATTTACTGTAAAATTGCCACATTCACATCTGGCACTAATTGTACCTCATTATCTTAGAAACTGTGCAATTTCCTTCAGTTCACAGACTTTACATCTGCTGGGTAGTCAAAACAAACTGCTTTACCCCATCCTGCGCTGCTGGAGACAGCAGTGTTGGCATTGTCCATCACCCTCTGTCACTATGACCCCTAGATTGTTCTGATTCACTGAAAGACTCAGCAAACTGTTTTTCAAGAAAATAAAACTATAGAAGAGCAAAAGGGAACTGCTGACAAGGTCAAGCTTTTCAAAATTCTTTGAGAAATAAGAACTTTACCCATTCCCTGGAAACAGCAAGTTTTTCTCCCTTCACATAAATTCTTAGGAAGATTCTGTGGTCAGGGAGGAGGAAGATTCTGTGCTGGAGGGAGAAGTAACAGGGAAAAACATGCATCTGGAGATGGGCTCTGAAGTAACAGAGCCAGGACTGGGTTATTCTGGAGAGATAGATTTTATTTTAGTATTTAAAATGTCTTTCAGTGATCATACAAATCATCTTGTGGAGTCAGTTCTCCCTGGTCTGGGGTTTAGGGTATGTTTTCTTTGATGGCAGGAGGAGCTTGCCTATTCTAGCATCTAAGAAGTACATTAGACCAGATTTTCAACAACTTGAAATATAAAACTACAGTTCTTGGCTAAGTAACATCAGTTATTAGACTGAGATTATATTTACCAACGTGCTTTTTTTTTTTTTTAACCTTAAAAAATGTCTTTTTTAAATAAACCAGACAGTGAACTGCAATAAACAGATTCTCACCAGAGAATCTGGTGCAATTAATTGCATTTAATTTACTCTGCAAGTCTGCTTTTGCTCTTTTCAAGGCCTTCCATAGTTCTCTCAAGGATGCAGTTGTCAAGGTTAATTTACAATATCTAATCCTTCATATTTACTCAACAAGGAATTAATTTTCCTTTATAATTATTCCTCACAAGTTCATTTTGTGGACCCTTTCCAATAAGCTTGAATAGAAGGCTTCATATTAACCTTTAACTAAAGCCATTTAGCAGAAAACTCTAGAAAACACTCAATATTCAGAAAATAGCTAAGCTTAAGTAAAGAAGTGAAACTGAAGTTGGCCAGTCAGATCCCAAGAAAGGCAAGCATTAGTAGGTTCTTTGCATCTGACTTTTTCAAATTCAAATCTTAAAGGGCGTCCACCAACAGTTACTGGTTTCCACCTGGGATGATCCAGGTGTATGCAACAAATGTAAGGTGAAAACTTCCCTTTAGTAGTACTTTTTCGCCTTTAAAGGAACACTGAAACTCCGGGGGAGTGACAGCTGACCATTTGCTGCACATTTTTTGTTTTGGTAGAGTAATTATTACCACTTTGATAAGCAAAATTAACATTACTGTTATAAATACAGTTATTAATTTGTCTGTTTATGAGTTAATACACTGTTGACAGTCTAGATTTAATTGCATTTGGGAGCCATATCTCTGTGCCACCCACACCAACCCATGCCTGCCAGCTGTATGGTAATGTGTTCTGCCTGTAGTTGTAGGGACTTGTATTTGCTTCCTGGATCAATGCTGACCCTCAGCATGACCAGATTAAAGCAAACTGGATGAGAAAGTGAAAACCTTCAGAAGACCCAGAAGGCCCAGAAGACCTGCTCAATACATCAACAGGGGCTTTGGGTTCCTGGATAAAATCCCTCAAAAGTTTTCTTCTGGAAGAATGGAGGAATTCAGCTGCTGCAGTAGGGAGCAAAATGGCAGGTGGGAGGGAGAAATGGTTTAAGGAAAGATATGTGAAACACTTTGTAAAAGATCATTGGTCTCCACACTTGCAGGAAATGACAGACTTTCAAGCTGTGCTATTTGTTTAGAAGCAGATTTAGAAAGCAATTGAAATTAAAGGAAAAGACTAGGAAGTTCCAATTGTAACACACCACTCAAAAGTCATCTTTTCCTTTTTTTTTGAAGAGGCTGTAAAATACAGTTCTGTTAGAAAATCTGAAAATACCTAGTAGGCTGTGTTTAGGACTAAAACTAACAGGCTGCAGGGCAGAAAAAAATAAAGACAAGGAGACTGTTCCAAGACAGAAATTCAAGTAAAAGGACCCACTTCAAGTGGAGTTTTCAGAGGGTTAGTTTAGTATAGTTTAGTATTCCCAACAGGAACAATGCTCTGCAAACCAGAGGGGTGCTGAGGAGCATAGTGTGTGTTACAATTTCACTGGGACAAGGTCCACCTGAGAAAAGAAAACAAAATAAAACAACAGGCAATGTACTAGAGTCAGTTTTGCCTTGAGAAACTTTTAACTCTCAAGGAGAAAGTAAAAAGATTCACAGACAAACTGGTGTATAGAGCTTTTCTTCAACTTGTTAACATGAAAAGGAATTTTCTGAAGAAATTCTTTCACAGGCAAGACACTGGAGAGAATTTAGATATTAGAGATGAAAAAATAGTAGTATTGATTTGTGGCAACATTTGGCAAAGCTGTACTCCACAAATTTTATCTTGATTCACATGAGCAAAACCCCAGGTTTTTAGATATGCATCTTAAGTACTAAGTGAGACTGGTGGTCAACTGGTTTTATGTGCAAAGGAAAGATCAGGAAAACCTAATTCCTTTGTTAAACACAGGCTGATCAGAGAGCAATGAGGGAATATCAAGATAGATGTTAAGAATTTGCAAGAAAAAGTTTGTGAAAGCACTAAGGACCTGTACTCACGCAAACAGTTTAAACAATGCCAGAGCACATATGTAAGAACTCAAGTCAAAATGAAAATTAATCAGTTGACTTGCTGTGGGATATCCTTGCCCTGGATAAAAACTGTGAAAATAACTATGTCAGGTCCTGAAGGGAATTCCTGCTGACCAGCCTTGGTCAGTGGGGAAAATTTTCAAGCAGGGAGTTCAAGGATGAACTTGAGCCAGATCCCTTGTTCTCAGCTGAATTAAAAAGTATCAAGATAATCCTGTTAGACTACATGTTTCTGTTAAATCTTTGCAAACTGTTGCAGCATCTATACCTCAGAACTATGGTGAGACCTGAAGAATTTAAAGCTAGTTAAGTTTTTTCATCATAGATACACACTGGACATGGAACAACTGTGTTGGATCAGCAAAAGTTCAGCTGGGTGAGCATCCTGTTGATGATGGCCATCAGGGGGATAACATACCTAGGGAAAAGTTGTAAAAGCATGGCAAGAATACAATAATAAGTTCCTGGAACATGCTTTTACTCTGACTCATAATTTTGGGGATATCCTGAGAAAGAATTTATTTCCTAAGCTTCAAGTTGCTTTTGAAGAACAAGAAACATCCATAAAAATCATGCAAGGAGTTCCACCACTTGCACTTGTGTGAGTGAAGATACAGCATGTCTGAACTCGAGTTTGTGTTCACTAGAGATGGTGAAAAATCATTCCATACTCAGCATGATTGCTGCTTATCATTTTATCAAAATACTTTGGTCACCTGAGAAAACAACCTTTTCCAAAATTCAGATTCCTGTTCCAGTGATTTGTCCTTCACATAAGAGCACATTTGTACCTTTTATCATCGTTGTTCTCCCTTTCTTTTTCAAATTTTATTATCTCCTGTTGTATAGCAGGGAGTATGGACAGGCTGCAACATGGGGAATAAAACTGTTAACAAAATAGCATTCAAAATTATTTTTATTAGATGTAGTGCCTTCTTAATTAGTTCAGGTTTTTTTGCCCTGCCTCAAGAATATTTTAACATTTTTGTCAATGAAAATTTATGATCCTTTTTTCTCACTTGGATACAAGTCTCATTTCTGATGGATTCATTCTTTCCACCTTAAAAGAAAAACAGTGAAAAAAATCCCAACCTAAAGCCTTCCTGTACT